TGGGGTGTAGCCCGCGATTATTTGTCGTTGTTCACCAGCTCTCTTGCCGTTAATGAAGATCACAGTAGTCGTTTCAGTGATTAATTGCATTAGGTAAGGAGGGGGGGGGCACTGGTGCTCTCGTTATTTCTGTTCAGGATACGACCTCTCCATTTCTCCGAGATAATTTCTACGCCCGTAAATTTAGAAGAGGTAGGAAATACATGATGAGAAAGCCTTACTTGATCTCCTTCCATAACTCCTCTGAACTTTTCCGGTATACTGAGCAGTTTTCGCATTTCCTTGTAGTATTTAGCACGAATCTCCTCAATCGGCGGACGAAGTTGCAGCTTTTGCTGCCTGAAAGTTGTTGTCTTTATCAAGGTGCATCTGCGGTAAGTATTGCTTTTACGCTATCTCAAAATCAAGAGAATAAAATGAAGCTGCCTTCAATATCTTTTATTGGACTCTTCCAGCCCGTAGGTCATACGCCATCTTCTGCATGGGAACTTTTCGCAGTTAAAGGCACGTTCTGCGTTTATCTGGTGCGAAGACGCCGTACTTGAACAAAATCAGCAGGAACAACGGATATAGCACCATCGGTGCGCGACACACTCGCTGCGCGGCACTGCATGATTAACGATGCCACTCGCTGTAAAAAGCAATGCTCCGCCACTGCCTATGCTACGCCCAAATTAACTATTGGAAGCCTCTTTTTTGTGCGGCTGTTCCGCCGACTACTAACTCTTCTCGATCCGAATGATAAGGGTGAGGTGTAAGGGTAAAAGCAAAAGGAACTTGTTCAAGCTCACGCTTTCTTCGCTGTATGGTTGCACAGCCTCATGTTGGCAGAGCAGTTTATCTAGAGTAAGGTTCATCCCTATTTTTTTCTTCACTATTAAAGGCATGATGCACGATAATTTGCCATTCCGTCTAAATGATAGAAGAAGTGCTATACATAGGGAAAATGACGAAAAAGCGAAGTGATCCGGTCACAAACTTGCAAAACAGCTCCTGTTTTGTACGGTACTAGACGAGTATACCGCTGAGAGAGATCAATTTTGTACGAGTTTCCCGTTGGCATCGTGCCAACAATCACTCAGGTGTGGTTGCATGTATGCACTCCTATACCCATACATCACCGCAGCCGCTTTATACCTGTTGTAGATCATCAGTGGTGCGATAAGAGTACCAGCGTCGACGTGACTGTGCGGCCATTTGAGGGTGGGCGGTTGCGGTGAGCGTCAGGGTTGGCATGTTGCACCTCGGTAAGACACTTTAACGGTGGCCCTGAATGGAATGCGCAGCGCAGCAGCTACTCAGGGGCTAAATATTCTTCCGCGCTATGCTTATTTACTCATGCGCCTTTTAAATTTATCGCGCCACTTGTCTTTCAGTTACTTACCAAACTGTACTAGGGCGTGAGTCCCTTACCAGACTGCCAATAAGAATGGTCACCAAGAGTTTCTACGAAAATTATATCTTCCAAAACCGCCAGCAATCGATCTTGGACAATTTTCATATTTTGAGAGGGTGTGTGCTTTACCTTTAATTGCTCCCACAAAAGAACTGCGTAAGAAACTCACACAAACACGAGCTGTGTATGGATCAATGGGATCTGAGTGTGCAGACTTTCCAGGCCCCACTGATACTGCAATTGTAGTGCCTGAAACAATACTCAAAATCACTGATTGAAAAACTGAGGAAATTCATACCTGCAGGATGATCGAGTAAAAGTGTTGATCAGACCACGCGTTAAGGTTCCCCAGGGGACTGGTTAGGGGAGAAAAGTGCTAATTATCGTGGGATGGGGTTGGGGAGAAGGGAGGGGTGGAGGGAGGGAATCGTGTGAACCCACATACCAACCGGGCAATTATACGAACGGTAACGTACAGCCTCGTTCGCTGCGGATTGTGAGGTGTGTCAGTGGAGCTGCATTTAGTGCATAGGCAGCTGGTTCCTCACCAGTTGTTGCTGATATCCCACAGGTAGCGGCAATATCGCGTAATACAGAAACGAGAGACTCTGTTACATCTTGGACGGTTCGTACGTCGAAGTCACTTAAACCAAAGAGGAACTCTGCCAAGAAGTTGACCAGTTGCTTCTCTGTGAGGATGAGCACCCAGATTTAAGCCTGACCGGTTTTCAGCAGTCGCTGCGCACACCGTGCGCGGCGCTACGTGCTCTAGGAGGAGTGATACCCTGCGAGGCTTAACCACGTCATACTGTGACGCTACAAGATCAACCATGCTGATTCGGTGGGAGACTGCAGACGAACAGATCTGACGCGGGGTATAGAGCGGCCCTTCCCGAGGCATATGGAGCCCTATATGTTTTTACAATTTTGAAAGTTGTACGAAGTTTAATGCGAGCTGCGATTGAGCTCA